AGTGTGCATGCTAAGGAGGATACTCCTTCTCAAAGTAACAGAAAACAAGATGCCATCACCCATGTTCAAAGACAGGTGAAATATTTTGGTACCAGACAAAACTGGTGGCTTCCAAGTCCTGCTGTGCTTGGAGAAACCTGCATTTTTTTGTTTTGTTTTAACTCGATTTATGTCTAGTTTATTGACTGAAAGTCACTTCTGATGTGCATTCCTTGGCAATTTAACTAAGAGGTATCCGTGAAATCAAGGAGATTGCAAAACTTTCCTTTGCATTCAGTACTTTTTCTTCTTTAAAGACTACATCCATAAGGAAATCAGGTGGACATGTGAAGATAAAGCTAGTCCAAAAAGTTTGAATGTAGCAGCTTTCTAATGAAAAAAGGGAGAGAATTTTCTCCATTTTTTATGAAAATATTTTCCAGTTTTCAACCAGCTCTAATAAAGACTCAGTCAATAAATGAATATGGAAGGCCAACGGACCCCAGAAAGATCTGGACCACTTGGCATTTTCTTATCATGCCTAGCCTTACATCCACCCCTAAAGCACATGTCTTCCTTTCACCCAAATCACAAAGCGTTTGTTTGAGAACAGGGTATTAACATTTCTACAGAATTAAAAATACAGAAAATCAGTAAATGCAAGATTTTTTTAGGAATTAAATTGTCAAACATTTCTGTTCAGTGTGGTATATTTGTTAAACTAATCCAAACAAATTCTTGACCATCACTGCCACATGGACTGTGAACCATTTTAGCACTCAGTTTCCGTGGAAGTGTTTTCTTGCTTAGCTTTTTTTTCTTCTGTTGCACTGCCACAGGCCACCACTAGATTAGTTACACTGCTGGCGTGTCCTGGTCTATTTAATTTGTCCTTAATGGACTTGGCTTTCCGAGAATGGCTGTGTAAACTCTTTGATCGTACAGATGGGAATCTATCAGTCCTGTCTGGCTTCACTGACAGTAAGTTTTCTGTCTCAGTCCTGTCGGTGACAGGTGTAGAAGTATGAGAGGCACTGACACCTGCTTCGCCAACATCACTGTCATCTTCTGTATCTGTCAGTAACTGTTTCTGCTCTGCTTGCCTTTCTGCTTCAGACTCACCAGGATATTCTGGACTAGGTTCATTAGAAAGTTTCTGTTCAACCTGGTATTTCCACTCACTAGTCCACTGTTCAACTGTGGAAGGGCACACTCGATCCATTATGGTGTTATAGTCTGTGGTCCAGTTGTTGACTCCCCCAACCAGCTTCCCTCCATGTGCAAATATAAAGCTCCTTGACTTTAGCATGGTTGTTTGACAAGCATTGAAAGCTTCAGCAGGGTAATAGCGCATTGCCTTAGACTTGTCCAAGGGATAAGAGATAGTAGCTTCTAACTTGGTCCTTTCTACTGTTAAATGAGTGTTCTGAAAATCTGGTCTTGTGATTGACTGTCCATTCATAACAATATCTGTTTGCTTTATGCTTTGGGGAATTGTTTCATCACTCTTGGAAATCCCTTGCTTGTCACCAGATGAAACTGAAACGTCTGAATGTCTAGTGACATTCTGTGCAATTTCTAATGTAGATTTATTGTAATCTGTAGTGGCAACTGTATTAGCACTGGAGATATAGCGAAGACTACCCTGACGTTCTGGAAGCAGCTGCATCTTTGAGTCTGCACCATCTTTCTCTTCTTTCGTACCAAAATAATAGGCTTTTTTGCGCAATCCCATGGCTGGTGACATCGCGGTGGTGCTATCATCAAATGTTAACTCATCACCACTGACATGATATCTGTACATGCTGTAGCCATCAGAGCTGTTGACACTGCTTTGCCTCAGGAGGTAAGCGGCATCACATTCCGAAGAAGCTCGTGAGTGTGTATGCGTCAGCTCGGATTTGTCAATACCCACCAGCTTTTCGAGGGCATTCACCATCCGACCAGATAGCTCCTCCAGCTGAGAAAGTCGAAGGTCAACTGTCTGAAGAGAAGCTTTCATAAAATGTTCTCTTTCATTCACTTCTTCTAACCTCATAGACATGTTTTCCACTCTGTGGAGTACAAGAATAAGATTAATTAAATATACCATAGAATGTTTTCAAGTAACACACTAATTTCTGCTGAGTAATGTTAGAGTTGAATTTTGTACCATACATGTTCCTTACTAATAACAATGTCAAAGGTCAGAAGTGCTGAATGTGCAATTTTCACATACAGGGTGAAATTTGCTCCTGAGCAGAAAGCCAAAACAAGATTTCTGCAGCCCCTGAGTCCCACTTAAGCTTTCAAATCAGAACTTAAGTCATGCATAAGTCTTGTGCTGGCCCTCTGAATAGCAGAGAATTTAACAATATATGCACTATCTATTTATTTTAAGGAATAGTTCACTCTTCTAACGCACAAACTTCTCCCCATTTTGTACAAAAGTTTGTGTAATACACTCTACTATATTGTGATTTTCTAACAGTGGAAGTATTGAATATATATGTAAACTGTTGAAAACCTCGCTTATAGCTACAGTACAGTGTCACAATATTTGGTATCTTACTGTCTAGTCACTTCTGTTTTCTACCCCTGTATCCCTTTTTGTTTAAGAAAAGATATGCCATATTTGATTTTTAGTATGAATCATTATCTTGTTAAACCTATTCTGCCATTTAATTATTGTGGAAAGACTTTCAGAACTTCTTGAGGAGAAAGCTGAAAACTTCTCAGTTTACAGCTGGAGGTTGATACCTTTTATTTAAAAAAGAGAAATTATATGAAATTACACAGCACTTAATATTGCAAGTGTGGAACATTAGCACCTTTCTTTTAAAATTACATTGTACCAAATTATTTGTTCCCCAAAACTTGAAAAAAAAAATCAACGATGCAAGATGCTGAAGCTCTTGATAAAACTAATCAATCATTTACTTTTTGACATCTTAATTTGCACCAAAGCCAGTAGGGTTTTCTGGGGTGTAAAGAATGCAGAATCCTGCCATAAATGAATGCCACAATCTCAAAGAGAGTTGTGGATAGTCTCTTACTTTGAGCAAGGAGTTTTAACATCAGATTCCCTTGCTGTGAACCCCTGTTTCATTTCTCATTGCCTTACCTCAGATCCATCCCACTCCAATAATTTACTGTTCATGAGTATTTGGATGGCCACTGGATATTCATGAAAATATCTGAGAACCCTAGAAGCTTCACAAATTCTAACACCAATTGTTATTCGTCCAAAAATTCATAATGGAAACATATTATATACTATTGCCATTCTTTAGTCTTCTGTTTAAAAACTCTCAGACATCCAGTCATGAAGCAGAAACAGTACCCACTGTGACCTAGTTGACCAATCACACACCACAATTAACAGTGAAAGTGAATAGTATACAAAACTATCCATAGGTTGAAGAATATTTGCATGTTATTCAGTGAATACTTATGAATAAATTTGCAGAAATCAGATCTAGTTTCCAAAACAATCTGAACAAAGAACTTTCTAAAATAATTTTATCAGCCCCATTTGTACACTAAAGCAGTTCATTAATCTGATTCATGTTATTGAAAGATTTTGCACTTTCTGTTGAGCTATGCTCATTACACTATACAAAATGGAAATTTAAGCTCTTTCCCCCCTTAGTTATTAAGTGTCCAGGCAAGTACAAGTCATGTCAGCCTTGAGGTAGGCATGTTTTTATATTTCTTTCCACACATGCCAACCTCTTCATGTATAATAGTCATTCTTCTCTGTAAGGAACTCTATTAACTATATGGGAAGTATTTTCTAATGACAGATTCAAATGTTGACTTGATATAAGATAAAGATAATGGTGAAAAACACATTCGGTTGCTGCATGAAAGAGAATGTACTCTGGAGTTTATGGAATTATGCACTACTTTAGCCTTTTATTTCTACTTTCCAATTATGTACGAGATTTGCGAACAGTAGAATCATTTAAAAAATCTTGTATCATTTTCTTGTATCACTTATAGCATAATGGAAGTAACAGTGGAGGAAGACTGGATATAAAAACTACACACTGGGATGTGATTAGAGATCACATACTAGCAAATCAACCATGGAAGTAAATTAACATTCTTTTGCTCCCACATACAAAAGCTGGTGGAGCATCTGGAGCAAGAAGCCATGAGAAATATGCAGATCTACTTTGTGACCATGTACCATAATGACTCAGAGAAGCATGTTGGTTCTACTCTATTTGCTGTCACAATAGCCCTGATTTTGACAAATTGCCATGGCATAAACAATGCTGTAGAAATTACACACACATGCACATTTCATTTACTCTCTGACTCCCAGACTGCACATAGACACTACTTGATGTTCAGGACACCTCCCAGTCAGAAAGATGTTAAAGAATTCAGAGAAAGACATTTAAGTGGTAGTGAAGAGGGTGTTTGGATAGCCAACCTTGGTTTTGAGTGCCCCTGACATAGAAGTTTTACTGTTGTTATGACTAGAAATGCTTTGCTGAGAAGGGATAATGAGCAATTTGCTGAAACTAGGAGAATTGGAGACCCACTAGGAGTCACTAAGAGTTATGTGCTTTATTTAAGTTAGCTATAAAAGATTAAGTAAAAGAATACACTTTGGAGCAGTTCAAGGAGCTTTTCTTCGAGCAAAGACTAACATCTTTTCCTCAGCAGCTGGACGGAAGAAGGACCCCCGGAAGCCTGGCTGTTGATCACTTGAAACCATCTCAGACTTTGGGTAACTATGTTTGGGGTGCTCTAAAACTATTGCCATGGCATGTACTTGAGACTCAATAAAGAAGGACCTTTGGGTGAAAGCATCTTGTTTGTACTAATCATTCATCAGACAGAGGAGCTGTGTCCCCACTGATTTATTCCTGACACCGCCTGCAGAAAATGGGTTAAGTTATCACCATTTTGGGTTCTGAAAGCCCCAGATAACAGTGGCACTGATTTGTGAGGATTTCTTAAAAGAAACATATGGATAGAGTGGTCACTATTAAAGTGTTGACATCTACTGTTCTGAGTTAATTAGCATTACTGTGGCATTGCAGGTATTCCCTTTGCTATCACACTGACTATTTGCACATGGTAAATGTTATGACTTGGCTAAATGATGACTGAGAGAATTTTTATATTTGGCTATTATTATTCTAAAGGTGTAAAAAACGGCAGGAATAGAATCATTTAGGATGGTCCTTAGGGTGGGGCTATAACTAGGGATTAGTGAGTATGCAACAGGGTAAAGGAATATATAGACTGAATATCAGATATCATTTTCTTAATAGCGAGATTTCTTATTTTGTGGAATAGTCATCCAAGTGAATAATAGAAAGCCCATCATTTGAGTTATTTTAAAACTGCCACTGGAATAGGTAGAGCATGTGAAAACATTCTGTAGGGAAAAACCCTGCCAGAGCAGGGTTGTTGATTAGACGATCTAGTAATCCGGACATATACTACTACTGGTTAGGTCTTCATATTTACAAATATAACCTAAGCCTCACAACACCTCAGTGAGGTACACATAGGTATGATTGCTATTTACAGATGGGGAAGCTGATAGAGAGGTTAAATGATTTGCCCAAGACCTCAGGGGGAATCTTTACCAGATCTGAGATTAGAATTCAAGAGTTCTGGGTGTCCAGACCCGACATGCAGACCACTAGAACATACTTCTCCCTTTCTATCTCACTGCTCTTGTCATTTGATTCCACTCTAATACAATAAGGCAATCTGTTAGAAATCGAGCAAGTAGTCATTTGTAAAAGTAGGTAGAGAAAACCTCTCTGAACTTCACACAGCTGAGGGGGGGACAGGAAGTGTAGAAGTAAAATGTGGGCAAGGCTTCTTGCAGTATACCCAGACCACACAGAAGAAACAGTGCTAGAGTTCTCATGAGAAAACCTGCTCTTGTGAGAGATTCAATTTTGGAGACAGATTGTTAGGTATGATTAAGATAAGCATAGAAACTTTTGGTGCATTTTTTGAGGCTACAAATATCGCATAGCTTGACCAACACTAGGTGTTAATGAACAGGAAAAAAAGTTTTCTAATCACTAGTAAAGTTTGGGTGGTTTTTGTTTTCACTAGTTACCTTTCAGATGTCACTCTGATACGTTCGTCATTAGATGATTGTTGTTCATCCTCCTTTTCCTGAAAATATTCCTCAACACATTGCTCTTCAAATTCATACAATTTCTTCAGCTCTTCATCATTCAGAAACAATTCTGCATAAAATTGTAAAATGTATTAGTTGAATTGCCCAAGATTCATATAATTTTAAATCCAATATGACAGGTGGGTTTTTCTTTTGTAGGCTTTTTGGATATTGGAGAGGCCGGGGGGATGGGGGGGGCGGGGAAGGAATTGAAGGTTTTGTTTCTGCAATCCTTGCTTGGGCACTTAATAAACAGGCTATTTTGTAAACAGGCAACCACCACTTAGCCAAAGTCCTGAGCACAATGTTATCTTACTCAGTCAATCTGATTGCTCGTTTAGATGAATCTTCTTTTTTACCATCTTTCTAAAAAGGGATGTCATCACATTCAGTAGATTAAATCCAATGGGTCAGTCTGTTCCACTGACAGACTTTGGGTAAGGACTTTTCAAAAAATTGCAATTATTAAAAAAAAATAAAATAAAAAAAAAAGGAAAAAAAATAATGAGAACCCCCCCTTGGGAATGCTTCATATTATTTTCAGGGATGTCATGTATGTAACTCTTTTTTATCAGGGGCATAGGAAACAAAAATAGAATTACCTAAAAAATATGTCTCCCGTGAAAAACAGAAACCAGGATAGGTAAAAATACTACATGAATGCTAACATCTGTTTGATTAAATCCGTTTTTTCTTCTTTGTTATTATTATTATTATTATAATGTTAAAAGTAACAATTTCAGGGCACTTCCATGTTCAAAGCATTTTACAGATAATAATTAATCCTCACAGTGCTCCTGTGAGATAGGTAGGTATTATTACATGTGGGGAAACTAAGGCACAATATTGTCATACATGAACTGGTAAAGGCAAGAGAGAAGTCAATGTGACAGATGAGATTAGAAACCATAATCCCTGTATCCCCTCAATTGCTTAGTGAATGACCTCCATTACCTATTCTTTCCCTCCCACTGGGTGGCCTTCATTATAATTTGGTTAATCTGGACTAAACAGATGCCAAGACTATAGGGTCAGCCACTTTAAAAAAAATGCTAAGGAAGATCGGCAGCAGCAGTGCAGCATCATATTCTGTGGGCTCAGGACCCTGGAGACCTCTGTGATTTATTAGTTTGATGCAAGTGTTGTCACATACTGATTTTTACTAATACTGCCAATGGCCAAGGTGAAGAAAACGAATGGCAATTAGCACTGGATAAATGGCTGCTTTGTGTTTGAAATGGTATAAAGAGCTCTATTTAAAACACAGAATCCTTCACATACTCAGTCCCCGGTCACGCTCATCCTGGTCTCCTTCTTGTTTCTTCCTACAGCGACAGCAAAGGCGGATGATGATTATGTAGAGGTGACTGAAGATGATCATAGGTGGAGGTAGGACAGGTCTGTCGTGGAATGTCATGATCAGCTGATATCGCTGGAATTTCCAAACTTGGTTGGATATGGACTTCACTTCAAAGAAGGTATTGCTGCAAGAGAGGTTATTGTTAGGTGTATTGTTTTCCATTAGGTTCTGATGATCCTTTGCCATAAATAAGCATACAATTAAAAATACAAAGGATATTAAATAGCAGTCTGAGTTCAGATACAATAATTTGACATAAATTGCTGAGTTGTGTAGCCAATCATTTCAGCAATTATAAAGCCTGGAGGCTCTAGTTGGAAGAGACTGTTAAGTCTGCTGATTAAGTTGAACTGATAATTTAGCTATCCTTTTGACTGTGGTAGAACAGCAGCACACTCCTCCCCAGAAGGCTATCCTTGTAGAACAGTGGTTCTCAAAAACGTATTTGATCGGCCCCCCCTTCTTTGTGTCTGTAGTCATTTATGTGTCCCCCTCCCCCCGCACAAATACATATTCCACCACTCAGCTCTGAAGGCAGAGCAGAAAGCAGCAGCTGCTGGATGGACGCTCAGCTCTGAATGCAGTGCCATGCCAGCAGCAGCTCAGAAGTAAGGGTGGCAATGTGAAAGTTGATATTCATCAATATCACTTTTTACAGCAGACTTAGTGCCCCATTGCCACTCTTACTTTCTGTTCTGTACTTCTGTGCTGCAGCTGACGGTTGGAGACCCACCACCTCCTGGGGCAGGGAGGAAGGGAAGGAGAGCCTGAGCCTGGGCTGCCTGGAGGGACGGGGGAGCGGGATGGGGAGAAGAGCTGTCCCCTTTATCCTGCTCCTATGTGTGCATGGTCCTTCCACGCAAGCCCCAGCTACCTGGGGCTGACAGCCAGAGCTACTTAAAAAAAAAAAGACACATTCCTGCACTTCCATTGGGAGGTCCGCCATTTTAGAATATTTGCCCCAGTATATAAAACCTATCAGCAGTCATGGAGAAAAATAAGCTCTGCAAAAATATATACATCACAGAACTCCTATTTTGGAGCATGGTTATAAACAAAGTGTTGCTAATAACACATCCCAGTGTTCGATGTTACACAGAGTATTAAATGCATGAAAGGTATTTTTTATAATAAAACTCAGACGCTTCACATGGCATATCTTGATCAGCTTGACCTAAATAGCAGACTTTTTTCTAAAGCAATCACAAAATGTCCTCAGTTCAAACTTCAATTCATACTAACTTCTCCATTTCAGAACACAACACAGATACTTGCAAAGAGCTGTTCTTAGAAGCCAAAGATTTTCATTTTTGCCATCAAAGCCAAGTGTGTTGTTAAAAGAATTTATTTAGGAGTTCAGTGGATTTGGAGGGGTAGAAAAGGGACAGTGCTAGACCCAGAGACTAACAATAGACTCTCTTATATCAACTGAAAGCAAGTCATGCAGTTCTGAATTTGATGTGAAACTTTTCAAGCTATTTTAGTGTCCCCAAATACTCCATTTTTCCTAAACCATCAAAGGTTATATAAGCACTTCCTTTAAAAAAAAAATTCTAACCATTTCTTTGCTGTGTTTTAAAATTCTTACATACTATTTTGTGAAAGTAATTAAAACATGACTACAATAAAACATGAATGTCGTAGTTTCTTATGGCTAGGAATAGATGCATTTATATTACCATTGATACTGGCAAATTTGGCTTTATTTTACTGTCTTCTCCATTGCAAGAGTTCTCTGGCTGAATATTATCATCTGCCATTATGCTGCTGACAGGCATTAATAGCATGACCTACTTCCTAAACTGCTGATTCTCTGGTCTTTTCAGTCAATAGTAACTGACATTGTATGTAAGGGTTTTTCTTCCAGCTATGTGACTGGCATTTTAGTTCTTTAAAATTCATGACTTTTTAAGCTACCAAACCTCCTAACTACATACACTTTGTGAAGTATACATTCCTGGGCATGACATGTAAACTAGGTATCATGCCCAGCAAAATGCTATCTACTGATGCCTGCACCCACTGCAAAGCTGTATATACCTGGGGAACACCACTTCATTTGTATCTCCATTAGGTGGTGCTTTTGAGTGTGACTTAGTAGTAGGAGTCATTTCTAGTGTTCCCTCCCATCCCACTCCCATGTGCCCCCTGCCCATGGCCTAGAGTCACACTACAAGCAGCCTGCCTCAGTTTCCCTTCTTGGACTGTGCAAGAAACTAATAAAACACTTTTGCCCATTCTCATCCCTTCTTAGGTTGTGTTCTATTAAATTAACAAATATTCAAAATAAAAGTTTTCAAGTCCATCCAGTCTACACAAAACAAAGGCTTCTCCGTCTCCTCCCTGCTTTGGCAGCCCACTCCCAGACGCTACCTGTCTGGAGTCTCAGTCCTTACTCCCAGGGCTCACTGCTAGAGCCTGCTCCCTCCCAGCAGCCTCTAATCCCCAGGCATTCCCCTCCTTCCTTACAGCCTCTTTGCTGCTGATCTCTCCAGGTGTGGCTGTAATCAAGGTTGACTACCTCCACCTTTCACGGGTGAACCACTCTGTTACAGTACCCAACGTAAAGAGGAAGTGGTAGAAGTGGATAAAAATTCCTTGGTTTTGCTTTGTGACTATCAATGACAGGAATATAAATGATCAGTTTGATCATTATGATTATCGGTTTTGCACTCTGGACACCTCTCAGCAGGGCCATCCCTAGCTATTTGGGGGCCATACGCAGCCCCCCCATGGGATGTGTGTGGGGCCCCAGGCCTCCGTGGGGGGCTGGGAGGGGAGCTTGCCCCAGGCCTTCCCGGGGGGGGGGGCTGGCTTGGGGGGCA